GTGGAAATGTTAACAGTGTAAACGTATGATCAAAATCGTCTTGGTCTGAGCACATTATGTCTACATTTTATGTCGATAATGGCCTCGGACGTCACACCCAACAATGAGATTAATGACTAATCCAGCAACGACTAAATTTACAATCAGTTATTAAATTCGCTACAACACCGTGATTGCTACAGCTATTACAGTCCATAGATATCTTATATACACTAGATAGTGCATCTAATTATTCTACAATTTAAAAATTGAAGCCGTGATTGCAGACTCAGGATATTCCCATGAAATGAGAAGATTCGTATGTTTTCTATTTCTTAAACACGGAACTTAAATATTAAGGTAAACCTATTCCAAATACATTTTTAAACTATTCAAATGATGAAAGTTATTGTTGTTTTTAAAGCGTTTATTAGCGAGTGGGAAACGCCAACATGGCCGCCATCTATTCATGGGGGTAACCGCTGGAATATTCTTGGCTTCAATTTTACTAAAAGAGATGCGCTATCTAGTCTATATAAGATATGTATGTTACAGTCCATTGGTTATTTTTACCCTAGCCCTAGGTAATAAGGATTTACAAAGAGATTAATACGTCATGCAAACAATTACACAATTATATCTGTATAATAAAGGAATAAGACCTGATTCCTGCGAGGGCCGTGCAACTACAAATAGATTTAAAAGATCGTGTATATTATGACCTAAATCTATGCGAGTGCTTGCAGCAAAAGTGACAAAATTCCAATTGTCAGTATGTGTATGATTGATGTACCATGACATACAGCTGACCCAGTTGGGGTCGTACTATTGTCGGGATGAATCGTACTGACGTTAGGAGGGATCGTACTAACTCCAGAGACCTTAGGCTTGACATTTTCAGGGAATTGTCCAAGGTAGTTCCCTGGTGGAGAATAACGAAATACCAATATTGTACCACCAGAATTTTTTTCTGCCTTAGCAACGCCGAACTCTGTTGATTTGACCCATACGACCTATGAAAAACATGAAGTTTAATTTTAGTCTTGGTGATTGGCAAGGAAAGTTGTGTCTGGCTGAAAGCATTTCGACAATAAGACAAACGAAAGAAAGAAAAGAAAAAAGGGGAGAAGTGTGGAGATGTGAAATGAAAAAAGGTGAGAGGATTAGCAGGAAGAAATATGCTGAAAAAAGGGAGATAGAAAATATTGATACCGAAGAAGGCTAGTAGGATCAATGAAAGTGGGATTGATAGAAAGTGTGAAAGAAAAACTATGTACCTGGGTGAAATGTCCAGTTCCCTTTGTGAATCCAGGATTATCAAAATCGTAGTCCTTCACCTCGTTATAGAATGCTGTAGTTGCATATCGACAGGATTGTTGGCTGTCTCCAGAACTCCCGTAGAGGTTTTCTCCTTGGCCCTGAAGATTTGGGTCGTGTTTAAATTGGTTATTTGCAGCAAGATAGTCTGCCCACTTTTGTGCATCACTGGCTAGACTTGCAGACCACTTGATGTCAGGAGCCTGTGAAATACGACAGGTTTTAATAGTTTATTCGTAATGGGCATGGTTAAATCGTGATTAGAGCTGTTTCGAGTCTTTGACGTCGAAGACTGAAAAGGAATGGCGTGAAAACGGAGAAAACTAAACACGGTGTACCTGATGCATTTGGCGGTATTTGTTGTGCCATTCAACACATTCTTGTCCAAAGGAAACGCTGCGTCAACGGCAGCCCGTAATACTCCTAAAAATGATTAAATATGAATGAGGATTGAAAAGAACGCAAGAAACCAACAAGGTGTGTAAGTGTTTTAACAATAAATCCTGCTCGTGTTAAGAATTCTCAATATCACTCTGCAATGCCAATGTTATGTTTTGAAACTAAAAACTGGAACTCTCTATTGGAACTGGAACTAAATGGGACTTTCTATTAATATTGACATGTACCTGCAATATAGCACAAAGATAGGAAGGCAATCTTCATCCTTGTTCTTCAGACGTTCTGCAAAGGAACCGTTTAATTATTGAGGAATAACGCTTCAAGAAAAAGTAGCTAGCTTACTCCACACCTCGAGGACACTCTGAGGAAAACCCCGTTGCAGTCTTATCTTAGAGAGCTTCTTAATACACATTTGATTGATTAATCGGCCAAGTGCTGGAAGAGTTGACACTTCGTTGCAAAGCCAATATTTAGCCTTCATTATAGACAAATATTTATGCATCTTAGACTTTGTATACATTTTAGACTTCCTGACTTTGTATTGACTTTTAAGGCAAATGAAATGCCTTTTTCAGTGAAAATGTACAAAATAAAGAGCAAGGCTGAACCTGGACCGAACCGTGCTATCAACACGCTCATATTCTCTTACGCAGGTTAAGTGGACTCCGAACATGAATGCAAATATTCAAATAAGGGCACTCCCGTTGTAGGCGGTAGTTCTTTCATAGGAGGAAATGAAAGTTGATGTTTGTTTGGGCGTATCGAAAATATTGCTTTTGCTTTAACGATTTAGGTGTACACAAAGGTTAGAACCTTTTTTGAGTTGTCTTTCTTCAACTTCACTCGGTTCCTTGTGCACCGGTGCACCCTATACGTATATATATATAGGCCTGTAGGTGTCGAGAGTAAAAAGTATAAAACTTATAACTTATATTTTTAACTCAATCAATATCGTATATTACCAGTTGCTTTTCATAAATAACTAATAATACAGTACCTGTATCCAAAAGTTCGCAAGAGCCCTTCACATGCTATTAAGTATTAAAGGCGCAGGAATAGGATACATCTTTTTAAAATTTTGTTTGCATGCACTTAGAACTGCATGTCAACTGATTGAAACGAAATTAGTAGGGCGACTAAAAATTCTATATGCACAGGATACGCTGAAGCTTACCTTCGCTTTCGGTTGAGCGCGCCGTAACTTTGGCTCTGTATATACACACGTAAAAACGCGTAAGTTGTTGCAGATCTGCGAACAAGGTTGTTGTCAATTAGTCGATATGACGCTGACTGCATGTTCGAATTGCGTGTTCCCAGCTGTATATTGGCAACTTGTTTACAAACTTAATGACGGTATAACAAGTCGCTGCAAATGTGCAGATTATATCAAACTTTTTGGAACAACTTGTTGCTGTTCTTTTGGCCTCACAACTTTGTCACAATATTTAAAACGATATAGTTATGGAAGATTTTAAATTAAACTGCGATTTTAAGAAACAGAATGTTTTGTTATCTCAACCGAACGACTATAACCTCTATTCTTTCTATTGGGAAGCTTTATTAAATGTATACAGTACGAACGATATACTCGTACATGTATGGAGTCGGTTTGTTCGAGATCTATGCCCATGCACCAGCGAACACTCTAATTATAGTATTTAGTACTTGGCTTACCTCAGTGTATATGTATGTTTGTATGAAACGCAGGAAGCGGTGAAGGTTTTGAGGGTAGTCTATATAGCGAGTGACTAGATCCTCTGGCAGGAATCTAACTTGCGGCCCCTGTAATTCCGGTGCAGTATCAGGCCCTTTATTCCCTTCCATCCTTCCGCATTTAAGGAAGAAGAGACAAGGCCTGATACTCGGGCTATATCAAATGCTTCAGATTTGTTAATCGTCTCTTAATGGTAGTGGTATAGCGGTAGTAGAAGTCCAATCAGAACCTGTCTTATACTTGAGGAACTACATGATGAAACAACGCGATTCGACAACGCGGCGCGTTTTTTGAGTTTTTGAAAGTTAATAATTAAACAGCCAATGAAAAGGAAACCAGTAGTTTTGCAACTACTCCTGGCAAGGGCTTAATATTTGTATATACTTTTCACTCGAAATTTCAATATAACAAAACTGTATATATAGTAATATATATTAAATTATATATGTGATATGCGCCTGGACAAATTATGGCAAGACTTGGATCAGGGCAATGCTATATCTATACTTTGCGCCCCTTTTGCACTCGGCTGGTATACATAAATATTTGAAACCAACCGTCGTTTGACAATTGCCTGTCTGATTAAACGCACAGTACTCGCTGTAAACTATGTTTGGTGTATTTTATGGCATTGAGCACTCTTCGACATTTGGTGAACCAGAACACATCGCTATAATATATAGAAATATGCATGCACACAATACTGACTTATAGCAACATCTTACCTGGGTCGCTCTGAAATACAAACGTTCCTCGTATTGACAATCGGCGTGAATTATCTTGAATAATTTAATTTGTTGTTGAAAGTTGGTTGGTTTTGTATCATTTAACCTTTATTTACTTGCCAATGTATGGGCGATTAGCCAATAAATAATTATGTTATAGTTTAAAATTGCGTCATGCAGTGTGAGAAGGGTTTTGGTAAAAATCCGTATAAATTACCACCTGTTGGGTTTCTTAATTCTAGTTCGAAACATGCAAAAGTATAACCATTTGAAGTCGTCGAATTCAGATGATACTTCAATTAATAGGTTTTTTTTCTTTATAAGTGAAAAACTGATCGTAAAGAAGAAATAAAGAAGAAAAATTGAAGTAAAAAAGATTGTAAAAAATATCTTCACTGCATACATTTCGTAACAACTCCATATATATTTGTTTTGTGCTCGGCAGGATATTGATGAGGCAGTCTGAGATGAACGCCTACATCTCATCAATCAATGACCAAACGATTAGTATCACACCAGGAGCTGTTGGTTTCGATGAGTTTTGAAACTATTAGCCAGTTCCGGCTTAAAAAGTTTTTTCGTTGGATCCTGTAGTAGTTAGGGCATATGGTGTACTGCTGCAGTCTACACGCAAATCTCCCAGCCTGACAACAAGTTGTGTTCGCAATGCAGTGCTTTTTCGCAGTTGTTGACAAGTCTGAAACAAGTTGTAATGAGGTGTTTGGTACGAGGTCAACAGCTAGACTCGCAACAAGTTGTTTCATTGTATCGTCTGCACGTAACAAATCGTAGCGATCTGTTACGAATAGCTTGTATTTAGTCCTGTTGGATTGAACAACTTGTAGCAAGTGTGGTACAGCCATAAACCTCGTAACAAGGTGATAACAACTTGTTTCAGACTTGTCAAGAACAAGCAGTGCGAACACATATCCTCGCACATATCGGCTTGACAACAATCTTGTTACAACTTATTCGAGGATCTGTAATGACTTTGTCTTGCGCCGTAAGCCAGCAGTTCTGGTTGGTACAGTAAGCGAGCATGCGCAGTTTGATTATTGAGATCGAGCCAGCTAAAGCAATTCAGAAGTTACGAGATGCATGCAAAAGTGCGGGCGGATATGTTGTCTTTTCACATTTATCTGATTTAATTTCTATGCATGCATGACAATAGCAGGCAAGCAACAAACTTTCCTAAGTCACTATTTTCATTGTATATTAGCTTCCTAAAACCAATGGCAATGTGTATTCATGTTCACATTGCGCGATGGATGCATTTTTAATATTCTACTTAGTCTTAAAGCCCGGATCAAACTGGGACGAGTGCATGAGAGTTGGCCGCCACACTTGGTTAGCTGTTCTTAATGTTTTCCCAAAACTGTCATTTCATTTCAGTTAAATCCTAGTTGAAGAACTCATCAAACTTTTATTTTGTTTATCTAGAGCTTAGAAATGTCCCCTGCAGCATAACAATTCATGACAGCCAACTCTCATCAACTTCCATGCTCGTTTGACTGCGGCTTAAAAGTCTCCATATTTTGCAATACTATTTATTTCACATTTCCTACCTGCCTGTATAGCTATATTCTCTATGTATAATCCGTACGTTATGCGAAGTTCTTTCTTGCCTGTTAACAGCAGATCAATTCTCACGGGAAGATAGAGGCTATTGCTTTGTCTTTGCCGTGTTGTTTAATCGTGTACTGAAATTCCCATGCCCGTTTTCACCTGCTCTTATGCATATGCACCTGCTGCTGTTATGGGAGTGACGCGCCAGGATATGCATGGGAGATTTCTCCCTAGGCCGATTTGCTTGTAAAGGGCAAGTAATACGAGCACCAAAACTGCTGCAACTTGCAAGAAACACTGATTTCAACGCATGTTTGTTAAAACTATTAACCAATGTTGTATCCTGTTTTGTGATTTATTAAGTTGGGCCCCTGCCCTCTTCGTTCAATAGTTCATTTCTATTTACAATTTTCTAGTAGTCTGTTTTTGTTCATTTAATTCCATGCATGTAAACTACTTGCAACTAACCGGTTCAATTTGATGTCTTATTAGAAATTCTGTTGAATATTTTTCTTGTATTTCGTTCTCCTGTTTTGATACCAAACTTTAACTTGTTGTTCTGTCAACTTGAGATAGACTGCAAGTTGTTTTCTTTCCAATCCAACGACATAGTGATTTTTTTCAAACGCTGTTTCCAGTACCAGAAGTTGAATTGGAGTGAAAGCGGTTCTTGTTCTCTTTCCTGAAGTAGTTGTTGTACTTGTCTCTGCTGCTGTTTCTCTCACAACTACTTGCTCGTCTATGAAATAATAAAATTTCAGCTTAAACAAAGTTTTGTACAGTTTGAAGGCATGCAATCACTCCGAATTAATGAAATTGCAGTCAGCGTACGTGATGCGGGCACATCCTCTATAATCAAGGCCCAATCTCTGCAATCAATACACTTTCCGCGTTGTTATTTCGTGTCATGTTACATGCAAGAGTGCACACAGATTTTCCTCCTATGCTAGCCGAAGCAACAGGGTATGACCTTTATTGAACCTTTGGGGAGAACAATTTCACAAATGATTGTCAAATTTATTTTAGTTTAGGTTTCCCTTCCGTAGTAACATTGGCCATGCAATAAGAAATGACTCTGTCTGGATCTCTAGAACTGTGTAGGACTGCAAAAGCTATTCAGTATATAAAAGTTGGTTTAAGTTTATTTAAGTTCGGTTGTTATCTCATCTTTGTCGCCACTTCTGGCGAGGAACTACTTCTATAAATGTTTGTACGAAATTCAAGAATTTGTATTTAATTTCTCAGTCAATTAGTCAATCGTGTATAACCCTGACTTCATAATTATAGAAACTTATATCGTAGCCGAACTAGTGAGCCAATGAGTTATGGCTCAGAGACGTCACATGGGCTTTGCGGAAGAAAGAAGAACAGAACCTGGATATTTCATCGGGAATTTCATAACAACCGAAACTGGCGATGTAGCGATGCCAAGGAAGATAAGAGAAATGAAAATGTGATGGTTTAGGCACAATATGAAAAGAATGCAGAGAGATTCAGTCAAGTTTGCGTGGGGACATCAAATAGGAGGACAGCGAACAGTTGGAAGTCCGACAATGACATGGAGGATGCAGTGAAAAGAGATCTGAAGATATACTAAACAAAAGAGAAGAAGATCCTCATAATAGAATTTATTCGTATCAACGTGCCAGAGGAGCTCAACCCATCAGGGAATAAAGCGAAGAAGAAGAAATGTCTTACCTGTCGTACTTCTTGTTTCTTGGAAAATCTGATGCCTTGAAAATTGTTCTTGATCCAAATGAACTGGTTTTGAACTTAAATCATTCTTTCTTTCAAGTTGATCTTTCAAGATCATGGACCATCTTCCTGTTTCTTGATTGCAACATTTGTAACTGCAATTGTGACACTTTGTAACAATCTCGCGAGACTGATAGGGGTAGGTGAGAGATGCGTAAGGCGAGTGGGATGTTTTCAGCTCGAATCGTGAACTTGCTGGAGTGAAGAATGTAGTCTGCAGTCTTGGCGAGGAAATACTCCTTAAAGATAGATTTTCTTGTCTGGATTCTATTGGACATTTTATAAGGAATGGGAGTTGGTTCATTTTCATTCTTCTGAATTCCTGTTTATGCGTGCTGCCGTTGCGCAGTCCTATTAGAATCACATATAGCATCGCCTTTTATACCTCGTGATTACGTATTATAATTTATAAAATTCATAATAAAATACAATACAATATAGTAATTAGCTGGGTAGACATAATATCGAAGCGTAATAATGAACACGATTCAATTAGCTATTAAATATTTGACTTGTAGACTATTCAGTGATATTTTTGCCAAAAAAGAATCGAATAGCTTTGAATTGTGAAACCATGTATTTTGATTTTCAAAATCAGTATCCATATTGAGGTGCTTGAAAGAAAGAGTTTTGTTATCTGATTCAAAGATTGCTAAAAATGGCTAAAATCCTAACTAGTCTTTTTCATCCCGTTTTCTTGTATAAATTATATTTTGCTCACACTGACACCTGCTTTTGATTTGATTATATTTTGTTTAAATGACAACGCAATCAAATTTGATTTATAATAGTTGCCGTTTCATAACACACCCAATAAATTGTTTTATAATTATGAATAAAAAACGCAATTTATTCCCTGAGTTGAAACAGTTGTATTACAAAATCATGTTTTTGTGATAATTGAAGAGTTTTTGTCAAACTAGTAGGTGAAGGTAAAAATTTTATCGAAAAACAAGGATGTAGTTTCACTCTAAACTTAGCAGTATGAAGGCCAAAAGTAAACAAACGACTTCTTCATAATTGAAAAATACATTGTTTCAAATAAACGGCAATATTATTTGTGATAACTCAATAACGCGCTTGATTTTCATTACGTTAATCTTATAAGCATTGTTTTTGGATAGTTTACTCAAATAATTTGTTTCAAAAATGAAACATTGTGTTTTAGCGTGGGAAATGTTGAACATGAAAAAGTAGGCGTCTATTTTCTTAGCATTGAAATTAAGCAATGATAATCTGCTGTTAAAATCGATCAATTCTGGTTGTGACTTCGAACTTCGGAGACCTTCAGAAGCAAAAACTCGTAGGGAGGTTGTGTTCAGCGAACGTAGCGACAGGGATGTGTGAATGTAGGGGGTGGGGTGTAACACCCCTCTAATACTTGTTCTTGAGCAATTTCAGGTAAATTTCTAGGTAATTTAAGCTGATTTTCAGGTAAATTACGGTAAATAACAGCATTGACATGCAAACGTGGAAGTTATTAAAAGGGAACTAAACAAGCTAAGAAGAATGCCAACTTTTCAATGCTTCTGAGGATCTAAATCTTCAAATTTTTTTCGGGTCGAGTATTTCCCGGAACCCCTAGTAGATGTAGCCCCATATCCTATTGTTCTATACTCTATAGTATATTCTTTCAAAAGAAACACCTGCCACTTAAATGTACACATGAAAAAACCACACCAAATTTCAAAAACTGCTTTTAGTAAAAAGTAATTTAAAAAATCAGGTAATTTTGACCCTTACACCCCCCATCCCCCACCCTCCTTCAATGACAAAGTTTTCGTTACGTCCCTGGACTTGTGCTGGGTTTTGGATATTAGAAATAATTGGACTTCAATTAGCGACCTCCAGCGCTAGCTGTGTCAGAGGTTTTTATAACTGGCTTCGATCTCTGTACCATTTCAGTCAACCAAATTTGCCTTTCTCACGCCGTCATTTTTGGTACTGCTTTTTCCAAATCTGAGATTGTACGCAGTGATAAGGAATTTGTATGACTATAATTGTGAGTCTTATCATTATAAGTTAATTTACAATTAAATATTTGAAAAAAATGTTTTTATATCGCTTAGATTTTTCACATCGTTCTCAAAAAAGTACCCCAAAAATGGCGAATTTGGCCTCCGTGAGAACGGCTAATTGGACTGTTAGGAATAGTTATGAACATTTTGAAATCTAACTCATTTTATGAATTTCGAGATGTTTAATTAGAACAAATTATCTTTAAATTACATGTTAAGACGATTTAGGAATATTGATCAAACTATGAAAGAATATTTAAATCAATTTAATTATACTTTATTATATTAAACAATAGAGACCGCGGCTCTTTCCTATGGGGTAAATTTTCGTTGATAAAACGATGAATTCGGCCGGATTTGATTTTCGGTATTCCTGTATTCCATTGCTCCAATTTCTGCAGGCTGATTTGAACTAAACAACTTTTGCCTAAAATTGTCGCATGCAACCTGCTCAGGACCGGAGATATGGGGGGTGTGGGGGTGACCCCCCCCCCCCACCACCACCCCCCAGAAATTGTATTCAGTCGGCAGGACTGCTATTTAGTCGGAGGACTGCTATTTGGGTTAAATATTTTTGCGAAAAAAATTTTCTCGCCCGGGCTGCCGCCAACCTCTCGGCGGCCCTGTTCGCCAGTCGGTTGGCAGGGCAGTAGAAAAACTGAGTCATATTTACAAAAATTTCGAATATTTTAGAAATTTTCGAAAAATGTTTTTGATAAACGGAGAAAATTTGTGATGTCCGGAAAATTTTTGATGTTCCGAAAAATTTTGATATGTCCGGAAAATTTTTTGAACCCCTAAAATGGTACACTGACCGAAATTTTTTTGGCGACGGGAGGGAGAGTCGCCGAAAATAATTTGTACTGGTCGGTTGAAATGTCAGGTACTTGTCGGTTGAAATGACCTTATTACAACCCCCCCCCCCCCTGACGAATTCCCTGAGGACGGCCCTGAACCTGCGACAACGTAACTAGTTGTGCGCGGGTGCTTGACTTACACAGTACAACTGAAGTTGTTGGCAGGTTGCATGCGACAGTTTGATGCAAAAGTCGTGTAGTGTAAATCGTCCTTTATCCGGCCCCTTGATGTTAGTTTTCCCCAGTCGGTAAGCTAGGTATTCAGTGTTAGCTGACCTAGGTTCAATCCTTGGTTGGACCTCTACTCAAGGTGTTAATATAACTGAGGAGAAAGTGCTACCTCTACAATGACAGCGGTAAATGGTTAGACTTTCGTGACCTCTCAGATAAGGACGTTAAATCGTAGGTACCTCGGATCCCCCATCAATTGGGAAACCCGTTCACCAAGGACTGAGAAACTCAATAAACCAAAGATATTTTATTGGTCGCAAACGCGGGCGACCGACAACTTCAGACAATTTCAGACCGTTCTCAAATATAAAGAAAAATCTTCACTGATTCATTTGCTGGTGCTAATTTTGGTAATCGTTCCATGTTTCGCGCACCAATATAGTAAACGTTATGTAATGGATATTATAGTGTCCTGAAAAGTTCACTAGATACCTCCATACACATACAGTATAACACACCCTAACCCTAACCCCAACCTTAAACCTAACCCTAACCTAACCCCCAACCCTAATACCTAACCCCTAACCCTAACTATTGGTGCGCGAAACATAGAATGATAACCCTAATTTTTCTGTCGGAAACTGATCATCATCAATCCTATCTTCATTGAGCCTCCTTAAAATTAAGCCGGCCTGTCACACAAACGTCACGTGAAGTGAGGTCATCTGGAAAACAAGATGGCGCCCGTCAGTGATGTGGATCAACAAACTTCAAACGCGGTTGCTAAAGAACATACTGCTGCCATAACCCGAGATTACATTTCACAGCCAAGAATAAGTATGTGACTAAGCATTAGCGTCGTTTTTTAATGGGTTTTAGGTCTCATTTTGGTAAAATTTGATGTTATCTTTGACTAGGGAGGGCAGTGATTTAGAAGTTTAATTGATTGTAATTTATTTATGTGTCTTTCTCGAAGCTTACAGAACTGTATCTGGAGTAAATGGGCCTTTGGTGATCTTAGATAATGTTAAGGTAATGTTTAGATGTGAATTTCTGTAGCTATTTGCCTATCATGACTATACCAAGGAAAGAAAATCAAAAATTGTCACAAGTGAGCACTGTATATTACATCGACAACAAATACCTACTTGATATTAAATGAAATCTACAGTAATTTTGTAGCAGAAATTACTTTCTATTTTAATATATACAGATGTCTCATCTGTGCAGACCAACTTTTCATGATCTCACTTGAAATAAAGGGGGGGGG